GCTACAGTAATCAAAAGAGCATGGTACTGGTACCAAAACAGAGATATGGACCAATGGAACAGACCAGAGGCCTTGGAAGTAACATCACACATCTACAATCATCTGATCTTTGACAAACCAGACACAAGCAATGGGGAAAGGATTCCCTGTTCAATAAACGGTGTTGGAAAAACTGGCTAGCTATATGCAGAAAGCTGAAACTGGACTCCTTCCTTACAGTTTATAAAAAATTAACTCCAGGTGGATTAAGGATTTAAACATAAGACTTAACACCATAAAAACCCTAGAAGACATCCTAGGCAATACCATTCAGGACAGAGGCATAGACAAGGACTTCGACTAAAATACCGGGGTGGGGGGGGGGCGGAAATGGAGGCTCGGGGCGGCTGAGGCGAGCTCCGGGGCGGGGGAGCCGGGGTGAGGAAGGGGGGTGCAGGGTGGGGAGTTTAGGCGGGCCCGGCCGGGCCAGGGGGAGCCGAGGCGAGCTCCGGGGATGAGCTCGGGGGCGGCTGGGTGCGAGCTCCTGCCTCTGAGGGGAAGGCGGCGGCGGCAGCAGAGGCGGCGGCGAGGCCCCCATGGGACGGCGGCGGGCCTCAGCCGCGGCCTCCACGTCTCCGCACGCCGGCGGGATGGCGCCCGGGCCGCAGAGGAGCCGCCCTAGCGGAGGCCTGCTGCTGTGCTGCTGAGGCTAGCCCGCCAAACTCCCCTCCCCAGCTCCGTCCTCAAACCCCGGCACCTCGCCCCTTCCCCACCCCCTCCTCCGCCTCGGTGCCCGGCGCTGCTCGGGACCACTATGACCAGGAGATCCGCGGTGTTCAAGGCTGCCGCGGCCCCTGCCCGCGGCAACCCTGAGCAGCGACTGGACTACGAGCGGGCTGCGGCTCTGGGCGGGCCCGAGGACTAGCCCGGGGCGGCCGAAGCCCACTTCCTCCCCGGGCACCGTAAGCTCAAGGAGCCGGGCCCCTGCTGGCCTCCTCCCAGGGCGGGAGCCCCGCCCTTTCCCCAGCCTGCTGGGGCGGCAAGGGCCGGGGCTTGTTACTCCCGGCCGGGGCGGCCCCGGGGCAGCAGGAAGAGAGCTGGGGCGGTTCGGTGCCCTTGCCCTGTCTGCCGCCAGCCACCAAGCAAGCCGGCATTGGCGGGGAGCCCGCCGCCGCCGCCGCCGCCGCCGCCGCCGCCGCCGCCGCCGGAGCCGGCCGCAGCCCCCGGCCCAAGTATCAGGCGGTGCTACCCATTCAGACGGGCTCTCTCGTGGCGGCGGCCAAAAAGCCTACGCCCTGGGCGGAGCACAAGGGTGGGGCGGCCTCCCCCGCTGCCACCGCCTCGGACCCGGGCTGACCCCCACCACTACCTCTGCCCGGGCCGCCACCCCTCGCGCCCACCGCCACCGCTGGGAACCTGGCGGCCAGCGAGGGCAGATGGAAGAGTATGAGGAAGAGCCCTCTCCAGGGTGGCGGTGGCTCAGGAGCCTCCAGTCAGGCCGCCTGCCTCAAACAGGTCCTTCTGCTGCAGTTGGACCTTATCGAACAGCAACAGCTGCAGGCCAAGGAAAAGGAGATAGAGGAGCTGAAGACTGAGAGAGACACGCTCCTTGCTCGGATTGAACGTATGGAAAGGCGGATGCAGCTGGTAAAGCAGGATAATGAGAAAGAAAGGCACAAGCTGTTTCAGGGCTGTGAAACTGAAGAGAGAGAGGAAACAGAGCTATCTGAGAAAATTAAACTGGAGTGCCAGCCGGAGCTTTCCGAGACATCCCAGACTTTGCCTCCCAAGCCTTTCTCATGTGGGCGGAGTGGAAAGGGACACAAAAGGAAATCCCCATTTGGAAGTACAGAAAGAAAGACTCCTGTTAAAAAGCTGGCTCCTGAATTTTCAAAAGTCAAAACAAAAACTCCTAAGCACTCACCTATTAAAGAGGAACCTTGTGGTTCCTTATCTGAAACTGTAAACGTGAATTGAGGAGCCAAGAAACCCCAGAAAAGCCCTGGTCTTCAGTGGACACCCCACGAAGACTCTCCACTCCCCAAAAGGGACCCAGCGTCCATCCCGAGGAGAAAGCCTTCTCAAGCGAGACAGAAGATTTCCACCATAGAAATGTATTTGTGTCATTGGCACCAGCCTCCCCCATCACGGTTACCATTATGGGAATCCTCTCCAAAGAAGGAGGAGACTGTAGCAATTCCTTCTTGGAGGGACCACTCAGTAGAGCCTCTAAGGGACCCAAATCCTTCAGACCTTTTGGAGAACCTGGATGACAGTGTGTTTTCAAAGCGGCATGCAAAACTGGAGCTGGATGAGAAGAGAAGGAAAAGATGGGATATTCAGAGGATCAGGGAACAAAGAATTTTACAGCGACTGCAGCTCAGAATGTATAAAAGGAAAGGAATTCAGGAATCTGAGCCTGAGGTTACCTAATTTTTCCCTGAGCCAGATCATGTTGAAAGTTTGATGACTACCCCCTTCTTGCCTGTTGCAGCATTTGGACAACCATTACCAAAATTAACTCCACAGACTTTTGAGCTAAACGCTGGTTGGATAAGCGTAACAGATGCAGGTTGGAGATCCAGAAGAAGCAAACGCCTCACCGGACGTGTAGGAAATAGCTGTGCTGGTAACAGCCCTGTCTTCAGATAGTTGTAGCATGCTATTCCAGAGAGTGGCAGAGACCTGTATATGTGACTTTTGTCCTCACATATGTTATCACTCGCTGATAATGCCCTTTCATACACCCTTGACTTTGTTTTCATCACTCTGATTTCACAAAAAGACTTCCATTCAGCTAATTGTGAGTTATGGAGGGTGATTGGGATTTCTTTCCCCTTTTTTGGGAAATGGACTCTCAAGCTAAATCTCTAGGATGGCAGATTAAGAAGTTTCAGGTATCTGTTTCTATACATTTGCCTATGTTAATGGGGTAAAAGGGCTTTCTTCATTAGACACGTGGAAGATGCAGCAACCCCTTCCTTCAGAGCTGTGCCTGCATGGCACTCTCCTCTCCCTGGGACGCCCTCCTTGTAGTGGGTATAGTGGTTTTTACCCGAAAATAAAACCAAAAACCTCACCATGAGCTTTAGGACCAGATAAGTAATGACAAGTGAAGCGATGTGGCAAGTCATCTTCACAGAGTAGAAAAGACATCGGACAGTTGGTAGATAACTGTCTGAAAAGATAGTTGTTTTCTTGAAACTATTCTGTGATATAGCCACGTGGGAAGGGATGTTTGACTGTGATTGTTTTCTTAGTTAATGGGTAACTGAATTTGTTTCTCTACCCCTCAAAAAAACAAAATCTTTAGAAAAGAAAATGGGGGTAGTTGGTTTCAGAACAAGTTACAGCTGTAAACAAAAGCAGTTAGCATTTGGGATGGCATGCCAAAACCTGTACAGATGTCCTTGTATCACATCACTTCTCAAGTATTCCTTCATTGGGTTTCATCCTTCTAGCTGAGCTCTTGAGTAGGGACTTAGGGAGGATAGGGGGAGAGTGGAAATAGGTGCTTTCTTTGGCTGGCAAATGTCTACATCTTGAAACAAACAGATGTACCTAATGACCTTCTCCATTCACTTTGTAAAAATAGATTTGTATGTGTGCCATCTTGGTCCTCTCCCCTCCCCTGTTTTGTTAAAATATCAGGCTAGCACTCTCAGGCCACTTTCGTCTCAGTGTAAGATCCCTATTAACTACCTGAAAGGAAAATAGAGCCAAGACCTCTGGTCTCAAATATATAGGAATTGCCTTTCTTTAGTCTTCAGGACTATTTTGTGAAAACAAGTAGGGGTCTAATCTCCTAGAAGGTAGGGACTTTTATCATTGAAGAGAATATGTCCCCAGATTATTAGCACTTTTAGAGGAGAAGCCAAGGTATGTAGGGTGTGTGGCCGGCCCATCAGTGGAGCATGAGAGAGAATGGGATACCATTGTGGGAAGAGAAGAAAAGTTCTTCAGGGGCCTCCCACTGCTAAAGCTTTTTGTGAGATATTGATCTGTGCTTCCTGGATTTTACTTTTAAAGGAATTCTTCTGGCAGCACATGGAGTATTCTTGGATGATCTTGCTGCTCTTATTTCTCCTTTTGTGTGTGTGTGTGTGGCTATGGGTTTTCATTTGTAACTCCATCTGCTTAGGAGAGTGGGCTCTCTATAAGGGAACCTGCTGTAAACTTCGTTGCAGCAAGGATGTAGAGAGAAGTAGGACTTAATTCCACTAGGGGAATTAAGACACACTAAGGTGTGTCTCTCATCCCACACCTTAAGGAGAATGAAATTTCTAGGAAAAACTGGGCCAGATTGTCTTTGTTCATCATTTTAATGTGGCAGGCTGTTCAGTTTTCTTATTCTGACCTATGTTATATTTCTTCATAACGTGTCCAAAAAGAAAAAAGACCCACCCAATCAGTGTTTCTTGACTTTGTTTTTTGATCCTTCTCAGTTTCTTCTTGATTTCAGCATATATTGAATTCCTAATTTTGTATACAAGTTAGCAAATTTAACCATTATGTTTGCACCCTACCCAGGGGACTCCCCAATTTCTGACTTGAACTAGACTGAGAGGAATCTACGAGGTGCTATATGGCCAGACTGAAGGAGATTCTATTTCCTTGGTTCTCCCTCTCCCTGAGGACCTCTTACTTTATTGTCCCCTCTTCTAGGTTAATTCTCCTTTGATTTGACTTTGTTGAGAAGGAGGTTGGAGAGTAGATTAGTAAAGTTCCAAGAGCAAAATTACAGTGTGTTAGAGTGTGGGGGGAAAATTAGTCTTATTTTTCCCTGCATGGGATACAACACTGTGAATTCAATCTTCAACTGAAGGCCCTGCAGTTCTCCTAAACATAGTTGTTTGTTTTTCTTTAACAAAGTTGAAGCTAGTTTTAATAAATTTAAAAAAAAAAGACTAAAATACCAAAAACAATGGCAACAAAAGTCAAAATAGACAAATGGAATCAAATTAAACTTGAGCTTCTGCACAGCAAAAGAACTATCACTAGAGTGATCCAGCAACCAACAAAATGGAAAATAACTTTTGCAATCCACCTATCTGACAAAGGGCTATATTGAATTCAATAATTT